CCAGCGTAATACTCGACATGTATGCAAAGTTTCGGATAGTTTGGAACCTTTAATTTTAAGCGAGATAGAGGCCGGAAAATGCCTCAAATAGCTCTTCTTGATGGTATCAGACGGACGGCTGCGAAGGAGACCGGAATTGGTTAAGCATGATAGGTTACCCTCATACGAATTACATCTAAACTTGCTAATTGGTTTATAACGGCATTGAGAAGTTTCAACATGCGACTGTAGTGTCACCTGTTCATCACACAGTCCTGGCGGAAATTTTATTGTTGCAATATAGTGAAATAAGGACTTAAGACAACCTATAACCTCAAAACAATGGTTCGAATTGCTTTCCTGCTATACATGGCAGGGAAACTGTAGTTGTGCATACAAAAAAGTATGGGAACCGAACATCAGTCCTATTAATTAATACACCAAGCACGAATTTTCTCTGAGAAGAACACAGTTTTATCAGCCTAGAGCGAAACAATATGGCTAATCAATCTTTGGCAAATCCAAAAAACAAGCTTCTTTATTTGGCGTTAAACGAGGAACATATGTTCTTCTTTGGTTGGCACGCTTTTCTATTTACGTGTGTTTGCAATATTCTTCCAAAAAATGCCAGATATTGCAAACCATCTAAATTCTAGGGAAACTAACCTCACCCATGCATGGTACCATTTAGGGGATTTAATAACTGCCCGAAGGCGTTCAACAGCACTACTGCATCTCCCCTTCAGCATTACTAGTTTCCTTATGCTTATGACGACTGTTTTTTCTGCAAGTTCTGGAATGTATACCGTAGGGCAAGGTATCTTGTTTACTGTTTCTCTGAAGAAGCTATTTACACCTCGTAGGGATGTTCTCATAAACGGAAAGGACTTTAAGGTAATCTTAATGATACTTTCTAGCACATCGTTGTTTAAAAATTGCCCTGTGTATCCTGATCCTACTCCATTCTGTAGCTCGTCATTTTTGTCCGCGCGACTTATACCTTCACTTACTGTATCCCCCTTACTTCTGCCAACTTGTTCCGTGTCCCCGTCAATTCTGAGAACATAACCTTCATCGTCTTTACCTTTGCCATCACCACTTGTGTCGCACCCATTTTTGCGAACAACACTTGTGTCCGTTCTACTTCCACCACCACCTTCCTGGTCTCCGCCAACACGACCTGTCCCCCTCTGCACCCGAATTAATCATTTTTAGGACTGCAAGCTTGCTCTTGTTAGTATCATTGTAGTCCACGATTTATTACCTTTTCCATGTTTTCTTTCTACTTCTTAGGTTGATATCTATAGTATATTATTAATATTTAATTGTAGTTTTTTGGGGTAAGGGGTTGGTTTTTCTACATTTTATGGGGTTGGATTAGGAGGGTGAACCAAGTAGGGGACTACGTGTCCTATTGTTCTTTCCCCTGTACATTGTACGAATCTATAAATAAATAAATAAATTCTCTATTTACATCCTTAAAAGTACTGCACACTCGACAAAGAGCTGGAAAGGAAGATGATTGTGCCGTCCTCGAAAACATATTAAAGCAGTCGTGAATGAAATCATCAATCTGCACGCTTACTTTGGAGTAGAATTAAGCTCACGTGCTAGGCAACGGGGAAATTGAAAGTTTCACCGTTGGCCATTTGTGGGACTCACAAAGATTGGCGGCATCGACAGTAAGAAAACTATCCGTTTGTTTTCAGAGGTTCAAATAATGAAATGACGACAGTTTAACCAACAACCTGCATCAGCCATAGAATTGCATGGTACTTTTTATAACAACTTTACTTTAAATAGGAAGTTTGAAAATCATACAAATTTGAGAAAAAAATAAAGTTCAGCAACAGAAAAACAATAAAAAAACAAAACCAGAGGAAAAAAATGCGTTTTCCTGTGGCTCCTTGGCTTCGATTATGTTTTCTTTACACAAAGCAGATGCTAACTTTTTACCCATGGAACATGTAAACAGTAGATAAAAGTAGATTCGAATGATGTAGTTAAATTTCTTATGACCCCCAATCTTTCGTCCGCTGCCTCTACAAATTTTTGGCTTTTCGGATTAAGTGCTCGTCAAAAACTTTATTGTCATTAAAATTCAGAATAAATTTCAGAGAGATACCATTGCTGAATTCAAAGGTAAATTCCCCCAAAAAGTATAATGTTTTGACGTTAGAAATCCCTTCTGAAACGCACTTCCGAAAAACACACATAACCTGCGACCTAAGCAAACTCGTCAGGGTGATGCATTGACAAATGGTCTTTTGTTCGCAATTTTCGCTCTTATTTAGAAACAACTGGTCCAAATTGATTCATTGTTAAAATACTTTTAAGACAAGCGAAGGATGTCCAGTCTCTTTCAAAGCTCATCAAACGCAGCATTACATTGTAATCTGCCGGTATTAATTACAGACAAATACACTTCTCTGTGGTGGGTCTACCAGAGGATACGTTAAATTTCTCTTTTTCCAGTTTCCCTTGCAGCCAACAAGAAAAACTGTCACTTTCAAACTGATACTCACATGGAACCTCAAGGCCAATTCTACACCAACTCTCTTTACTCGTTTCCCGTTGACTATAACCTTTCCGTTGTTGAGTCATCAGAACGTTTTTTTGGATCCTTTATATTGTTAGGTTTGGCATGAGTGTATAAAAGACTCCCAATCTTAGTTCCCACTCAGTCACATACTCATGATATCCCCTAAGGAAAGAGTTTACCTATACAATTTCCTGTGACATTTTAGCTATTCAGCTCACCTTTGATTTGATGTGATATCTTCTGAAATTTTTTAAATTTTTAAAAATTTTTACTCGTGCACAGTGTGGTGTAAAAGCGTAGGAGAGAATGTCCTCTGTGGGATTTTAGATTTCGTTGTGATTTTAATTTGTTTTAGCTAAGTCTAGATGTTTATTACAATGGTGACCAAATGTTATTACACTTGTGACCTTTATTACATTTGTGAACAAATGTTATTGCACTTGTGACCTTTATTGCATTTGTGACCAGTTATTACATTTGTGCCTTCAACAGGCCTCTCTTTATAAGCCTGGTTCCTTTTTTGTTCACATAACACATGGCGATTCAAGAAGGCTCGAGCGAATATGAACTTCTACCTCAGTAGCTTCCTGCGTTGAAAATATCCACTAGGTCAATTCCTCCATTTGATTGTCATTTAGACTGTTAGTAGCTCGCTTGGACCTTTTCACAGTCAGCTGTTTCAAAGATTATTTTGATTTCCCTTTGCGTGAATTATGTGTTGTCACCGATGAAGTAGATGTCCTGGGCTCTTCTAGGTTTTGCAAATCTTCCTCTGAACTGCTAGTTTCCGTGTAAGTGCTGAAATTTTCGTGCGAAGTACGGTCGGAAGACTCCTCTGAAGATTCCTCATGTGTGTTGGCCATGTTTTTTTTCCAATGTGAAGGAGTTGTCCTGGTTACACATTAAAAGTTTATTATTGATGAGGCAATTGCTTGTGATTGGCTTTTCAAAAGCAATTAGTGTGAAAGGTTTATCTAAAAGTAAACCTACTTGTGAAAATGCCGTTGCATAGGCACAGCATGGAAGTTCGATGCTCCGGGTAATGGGCTCCCGTGATGATAAGTCCAGCCAGGTGTGCCTTAGAATTAGCAATTTTGGAGTTTTTTCCTTTGTTTTCCTTAAGCTTTGTTAATTGAAGGAATGGTATGCTACGGGCTGTTTTCAAGAGTGGAATTGATATGTCCCTCTCGACAATCAGCTAGGGGAACTGCTGTATTTTTCTCTATTTCTTTGAACGCATTTAAAAACAAATGGTGAATTGAATTGAACTAATGTCAGAGTAATGAGAACACTTGTTTGAAATTTACATCTAGTGACTTGAGGCATGCTGGGCTGAGGTAGGACACAAAACAAACCAACAAACCCCTGACCATCTTTTCTGAAGTGACCGCCCAGTAGGAGAGTTTTTTAGGATGGGCATATTGGGGTGCATATGCGCTGTGGTTTTCTGTTGAAGGGTAATGTCTGTTGGAGTACTGCCATCTACAGGACTTGCTATTGAAGATTTACTACTTGAAGCTACGAAACTATTTATATAGTTGTTGACATTGCCAGTTTCTAAGTCAGATATGAAGGCCTCTCCGAACTCAGGTGACACAGGAACATAAGTCATGTAACAAGTTGTTATATTACGCCATCTTATTTTCCACTGATGAAGAAGTAGGTGGGGTTTCTTCATGTTTCTTTCTGCCGGCCCATTCCTCTTAGGAGCAAGGTTTTCCCCTCTTCAAGGCGGCTGTAATGATGGAGGATGGTCTCCTACTTGTTGCATGTTGGCTGTCTGCACAGACAGGTTTATTTTGTTGTCGTTCCTGGGGGACGTTTGTGGTGTTTGCATTGCTCTTGTTCTACCACATTTGCACCATGTTTCGCTTAGATTTGTTGGTGTTTGTCAGTTCCTCATCTGTCGTTTAAATGGACTGGATGCCCAGAGACTTTCTTGCATCTTCTAATTCAAGTGAGGTATCTGAAGCAAAATTACGTATTTAGGGACTGTTCATAATTTTTGGGTTGGGGAGCTATCAGGATTTGGAGGGGGCATTAATTTTCATCCAATGAAATATCAGGTGATCAGTGATATCTTTACAAGTGAAAATAACATGTTCCCATGGATACCCCATTGAGATGCATGCTGTGTTTGGTCTGAACGTGTTTGTGATAACGCTCACATTTTGAATAAAGAGTTAGACTTGGCATTTCATTGAAGTTAAGAAAGAGAACATTACATGTCCTCTTACGAATTTTATATTCTCCACGTGGCCATGTAATACCCGCAATATATTTGTCACAACATCAAAGTCTTGCAAATATATCTATGTTAATATTTGAAAACTCGTTCTAGTCAACCTAGAAGACTTTGACACCTGTAGTCATAAGACGAAGTTTGTGGCTCTTTGATCACTTCTAGTATTTGTAGTAATGAGCGGCCGATTGTTATCAGATTCCAAGTCAGGTTCAGAACCTGATGAGTCAGAATCACTTAATATTTCTTGGTATATTTCTTGTTCACTTTCATGACTACTACATCACAAACTCCTCCTTTTATTTCCTTTACATGGGTTGTGATCTCTGACTTAAACTTTTTATTCCATGGAAGGGTACAACAAGTCCCCAAATAGCTACTATATCTGCCATTATCAGTCAATTCAAGGACTTTCGGTGCCTCATTATGTCACTTGAGTATTAAAAGCAGAAACACATAGTATTGTCTGTTACAGCATGTTACGAGTGAATCGAAGAAGTAGGGCATCAATTTGGGTAATCTTTAGGCACAGTTCCCTAATGTACTTGATTGTCAAAGAGTGCCAAACACTTGTTAAATTAATGCCTTCTTGATGGTGCTGTAACACTTATTTAAAACGTCTTGCAAATAATAGAAGTACATAATCCTCCTTAATGATTCTTTCTTTGTTTTGTTAAAAAATGGTAACAATATAACTTCTCAGGAAGTGACGACCAAAGGGTTATAAATTTACAAAACCGTATGCTCAAACTTAGGGAGGTGACTAATGCACCATCAGGGACAAGAGCCAGCCTAGTGCTCGACTTTGTACATGTCAAGTAACAATTTGGGTTATAATGGATCTAAAAGCTTCAAATTGCATTTTTTCCAAAATTTCTGGGGCAAACAAGTTGAAGAGAATGCATTCGAATAGATCCTGAGTGTGTAGGCTAAGTTCTGCAAGACATGTAGATTATTTTGCCCTGTGGAACATCATACGTGTCTTAGAGCCCCTGGAATTTCTATTGTTGATGTGAAATTCAAAGATTAAACGAGACTTACCTGAGTTTGATTGGAATTCTATTCATCACCAAGAACTGAGGGATTACAGGAGATAGTATTGCACCTGCACAAACTCCCTGTCAAGGAAATGGGAGGGTATAAGTTGGGAGGGCATGTAATCCCTCAGTGCTTGGTGACAAATAGAATTCCAATCAAACTTCAACTTCCCGGTAAGTCTTATTTAATTTTTGAATTCTATTCCGTCACCGCACTGAGGACTAACATGAGAAAGCACACTGCACACATGCAAAAACAGTCAACACAGAATCCAAAGATGGTAAGAACAATTTATTGTCACTTAGTCTACAGACTGCAAAACACTTTCAGCAAAACTGTTCTTGACATCAATTTGTTTGTTGTAAAACTTAGCAAATGTGGAGACTGAGCTCCACCCAGTTGTAGATAAAATCTGATCTAAAGGAACAAGACTTGCACTTGCTTTGGATGTGGCTGCAGCCCTGGTACTGTGTTGCCTTAAAACTTCTACATTTATCCCAGAGCTGCACATAACAACCTTAATCCACCTGCTAATAGTACTTCTAGACAATGGCTTGAAAGGTTTCAAGTAACTAATAAACAATTGCTTATAGTCCGCACGTTTACACCTTAGACAAGCTAAGTACATCTTGAGAGTAGTGACCACGCAAATACGAGGGTCAGCAGGATATGAAGTAAACTGAACTACCATTGGCCTAACTCCTGGTTTTGATTGTTTGAGCAGTTTGCTCAATGTATATGTAATCAAAGTTTCGGAACTAATCATATCATTAAGATTAAGATAATGAATGGTTTTGCCTCTTTGGGCAGACACTAACGATACTAGCTTGACAGTTTTTAATGTCAAGTCCTTTAACGATACATCGTCTGAGTTTAGTATGGTCTGAAGGTAGCTGATTACTTTGCCAACGTCCCAAGTTTGTGTGTATCGTGGTGCTGTGGGTCTTGATTTGAAAACACCTTTGAGAAAACTTGTAACCGTAGGATGGGAGCAAAATGATATCCCATTTATGGGTTGGACAACACACGAGAAAGACGACCTAGCAGTGTTTATACCACTATATCCTATTCCACTGTCATACAGTTCAACTAAAAAAATCTACCGCTTGGGATATATTGGGGGAAACACAATCAATTTGTTGTCTATGACAGAACGAAATCCACCTCTTAATGTAAGATGAGTATTGTTGTTGAGTTCCTTGCCACCAAGATTAGACGATGATGTCTTTAGCCTTCTGAGAAATCAGTTGTGCTGCAAGGGATTCCCTGATAATCTGCATGCCATCAGAACCATCGTCTTGATTAGTGGGTGTGGTTCGTGTTCTCTCCCAGGCATTTTGAGCATGGTCAGTTGTGAAAGTGTCCTGGGAACATCCACGATCAGGTGTAACTGCTGTGAGTACCATGGCTGAGTTGGCCATAAAGGAACAATCATTATGCCCTCTGTCCTCTCCATTGCTATCTTCTGCAGGCAACGAGCAATCAAAACCAAATGGGGGAAAAGCATGGAAAAATTGGTTTTCCCAGCTGATTAAAAAAGCATCAACATAAGTTGCTCCAGGATGCATAACAAGCAACTGGCACATTTAGCCTTGAGGCAAAGAGATCTATAGTGGGTTGCCCCCAACTTTCTGTAACGTTTTGAAAAATCTCTTTCCTGAGCATCCATTCCTTATTGTCAGTAAAAACCGTAAACTCGCTGTCCACCTGAATATTGTTATTCCCCGGGATATGAGCTGCAGAAATCCAGATCTCTCTCTGAATACAGAACAGCCAAATCTCCTTGGCGACAGAGTTGCACCCCATAGAATGTGCCTCCCATAGAGTTAATATAGTTAACAGTAGTGGTATTGTCCGATTAAATGCGTATGTGTACAGATGTCATATTAAGACAGAAGGTTTTCAAACCAAGGAATACAGCCTTGAGTTCGAGACAATGTGATTTTTTAATTCAGTTTCAGCCCATCCGCCTCCTGTTTTTTCCCCACCGATGACTGCACCCCAACCCTTGCTTGAGGCATCAGTATACGGGGTAATGCCAATCTTTGCCTTTGGTGTACAAATAGGATATTCAGCTGTCTCAATATTATTGCACCACCACTGTAGTTCTGCAACGCTTTCTTGCGATAATTTTATACATGCCTGATAGTTTCCTTTATTTTGCCTAAGTGCCATGGTTTTATCATGTTCTGACTGTCTATAGAAAAGTGGGCCATAAAGCACCCCTGGAAAACTAGACACTAGTGGTCCAATAACTTCTGCAAGTTCCTGGATAGACATTGTGCCACTGCAAACAAGCCTAATGCACCGCTCTTTGATTCAAAAAACCCTTTCTGTAGGCAGGCACACAGTCATACTGAAAACCCAGCAAAACAGGTGTCTGGACTGGTCTTAGCACTGATTTTACCGAGTGTTTAATAAAGTCCAGTTCTTTAAATAAGCAACAAGTATCAGTAATGTTAGTCTGACATTCATGTATTGTATCTCCTTGTAGACACGAGTCATCAGTATATCCCACATTTAGATGCCCTTCCTTTCTAATGGTAGCATAAACAGGTTTTAAAATTTTCGTATAGAGGCGTGGGGCACAAGAAAGACCATTAGGTAAGCAAGTGAACTGAAACAATTGTCCTCTTCAGCTAAATCTGAGAAACGTTCGATATTCCTCATCAATGGGAACCAAGTAGTAAGCATCCCGTAAATCTACAGAAGCCATGTAACAATTCTGTTTCATAAGCCGGATAGCAGATTGTAGAGTATCCATCTTGAAGTGATGATGCTCCACGTGATCATTAAGATTTTTTAAAATTTAATATGAGCCTATAAGTGCCATCTTTCTTAGGGCGGATGGATATAGTAGAAATAAATTCCCCTTCACAATGAGTGGTCTCTTTGATCACTCCTATATTCAGCAAGTTTCGTTTTGAATAACATGTTTGTCCTGAAGGGGACTCTGGAAGAAGGAAACGCCATAGAGATATTTTTTGGTACAACCCCCCTTTCAGCAGGAATGTGGCTACTAACCTTGGACAATCCTTCCTAAAGATCCTCGGCAAAGAATTCCCGAAGGGCCATGCGCTGCATAAAGTCTTCAACTGGAACACAGTTAAGATCAAATACAGCTGCATGCCTGTTTGTACATCAAATGAGATTGATTGTGGCCAAAAATCACAGCACAATATTCATCGAATCTGAATTCATCTCATCAAAATTCATCTCCATCCACAGTTTCAAAAAAGCAAAGTGACTGTGCCAAATAAACTCCATTCTCACACAAATATCACTGCTAATAATGGTTTTTAGGTGAAAAGAAAAGATAACTGTTGGCATCGAAATTTTGAATAGCGTCGTCCTATTTGAATTTTTTCTTGTACCTTGTCCATAACTTGGTCATTTCCACATGGAATTTAATAATTTTCTCAGGATTATCTTCAAATTGTGCGAGCTACACATTGCCATTTTCCAAAAACACGATATCTTGCTGAGTCAAATATTCATTACACTGGACGAAAAAAACAATTTGCGTCAATTTTGCTAACCCTAACCCTGTGTGAATGAGTATGCAAATTTGGCATTTACCACCTTATGCTGAGGAGCTAATTTGAAGCAAATTCATTAGCAAAGAGCTATCTGTTTCCAAACGTGACAAAAAGAAGAAAAGAAATACAAAATATTATGAAAAATTACTGCTTTGAATTTTACTCAGTGTCACTGTCACTAATAAATTGCAGGCGTCTTCCTGTTTTAATGGGGTTTACCCTATATGATGATAACAATTCATCCTCTTCTTCCAGTTCCAAGAACAAGCATCTTCCTCAGTTGATGACTCATTTGGAGTTTGTTGCCTCCGAGTTCTTGGGGGGAGGCACCCTTTCTTTTCATATAACTTTGGTTTAACTGCTTTAGGTACCTGAACCGGATAGAATACCATGTCCAGCCAGGGCACATCTAAGAAGGTCAAATTAAGGTTGGTTAGATCAATTGACGGAGATTTAAGTATACAATAGATGTTTTTTGCTCACCTTGTTCAACTCCGCCTGATTCCATATTCGATTCCCTTGTACTAGAGGGTCCCGGCCTAAAACATAAGCATTAATGGCTTGGTCCTCCTCTACTGTGTATTGGCGTCTGGACATTTTGTGTAAGGTAGAAAGTTAACAATACTTTACAATTATATAATTAACACGAATAGCATGGGTAATAATGTTGAGTACAAACCTTCACCACAAAGGACTGCACCATTTTTTAGCTGTTGTGTTGATTTGTTATGTCTACTTGTTACGTGTTCAGTAGAGCGTGACTGAAACGTGTTTCTAGAATATGCGATTAAATATAGTTTCCACGTTCTGTTTAAGCTTGCAATTTCTGTACTGAACCAAATCTGTTCGTGTGTCCTTCCTTTCAAGGTTTTTCCCTAAATTTTGAAGGGGACAACTTTAACTTTATTATTCCATCCCTCATACCCTGATATAACGATATGCCAAGGGAGCAGCGGAATTAGATCGTTATATCGAGGTATCGTTATATCGAGACTCCCGATATAACGATATTGACATAAAATAACCGAAAATATCGTTATATCAAGGTAAAATGAACATGTACTTTTTTACTACATATTGTGTAATTAAACTTGTAATGAGTATCAAACGACTAACAGATGTAGCTTTTCAAGCACGCAGCAATGTCCTTAAACAATTTCAAAGCATTAGACGTTATCAAGGTTACACAACAGAGTCTGTGGTATGAAACAAAACAAAACTTAAACATTAGAAGTTGTGACTGTAATCATCTTTACTTTTCCCTGTTTACGTGTTCATTGTTTTTCTTTTTTAACAGACACTTCTTCATCAATTAAAGTACTCTTCAAGTTTGGTTTGCCTCATTTGTTTTATTTGCAATCTTGAAAACGCATCCTCCATCGCTGAAAGAGAGGGAAGGAATTCTCTCTCTCGTTCGCCCGAATCATCCAACGTAGTAATAAAATCTCTAATTGCTAAATACTAAAACTGAAAGAACTATTAATTAAATGACAAGGAGGATGAAGAGACATCATAAACTGAAAGCTGTTGACAGAAACATTACAGATTACTGTACTTGATTACTGTAATGTTATTGTATTAAATTCAATGTTTTGTTTAAATTGTATCTGTGTACTGATACTGTAATATTGTTAAATTGGGGAAGATTTTACGCTCGTTGCGCTAAAAACTCATCGTTATATCGATGATCGTCATATCGGAGTTCTGTCCCATACATTTTACTGTAACTTTTGCCGGGACATAGCACATTTATCGTTATACCAGGGATATCGTTATATTGAGAATTGTTGTATCAGGGTTCCACTGTAGTACAAACTCAGTAAAGCCAAAGCCGGGGGCTTATACGGCCTGTGGTCAGAATGACAGAAATTAGTTTACATAGAAATAAAGACCGTAGGCTAAACTACAAAACTAAAACAAGATACAAAACTGAAATTAAATAAGTTTACGTGCATGCAATCCTATAACAGTCCTTTAACAGTCCATAACTAGTGACAAATAAACTAACAATAAGCTAGGAGAATGCTGCGCTAGTTCAATTTAGGCTTAAAAAGTGAAGTTTTAGTTTCCTTTTGAAGTTAGTAGTGGTAAGGCTGTCACGGACACTCAAGAGGATATCGTTCCAAATAGTTGGGGCTTGAGAACTAATCGCAAATTGATACCTGAGGGACATTTTATGCAAGTTGAAACAAGAAAGAGTTAGATAATCATGAAAATCACGATGAAAGTGGAGGAGGGAGGAAAGAGAGGCAGGTAAAAGGCAATTAAAGTGTAATAATATAAAACAAGAAACATGAAATTTATAACGTGAATGGAGAGAAAGAATATTAAGCTTCGAGAAAAGAGGCTTCGAACGAGTTCTTGGAGGAGAAAAGGTGATAATCCGAATGGCTTTCTTTTGGAGTAGATAGAGGGGTTCAAGGTAGGAGGCATATGTAGGAGCCCAGATGAGGTTACAATAGTTGATATAATGTAGAAAGAGGGAATTATATAAGGTTTTTAGAGTGACCGAAGGTAAGTATCGTCTAGATTTACACAAAATTCCTATAACCTTAGCGACTTTATCGCAGATGGAAGTGATGTGCGGTTTCCATGAAAAGTTTTCCTGGATAATTATTCCAAGAAATTTATGTTCCTGTACCCGCGCTAAGATGTTTAATTCTGAAGGATCTGTTTACGTCGTGGATGGAAGATGTTGAATGTGGATTTATCGGGATGAACAGTAAGCTTGTTTGTGTTAAACCAGTAAGCTTGTTTGCGTTAAACCAGGAGGAGACATGAGAAAGCTCTTGATTAACCAGTCTAGTTAAAGTAGCCAAGTCTTTATGACTGGCAAGTTTGATGAGAAAATTGTATTTATTACGGTATTTGTTGTATCTCAACTTGTTGAGTGCAGTTGGGTTTAACTGGAACTGTTTATAAAGAGAATTTTTCCTTTTACAAGAAGTAAAGAGACCATTTGAGAACCAGGGTTTTGAAGAGCGGTGAGGTTTAGAACATTCAGGTTGAAGAGGAAATGACATACTGTATGCTGAAGTAAGAAGACTAGAGAATGTGTCATAAGATTCATTTACAGAATTAATGGCATAGACTGAAGACCAGTCGACACCTTCCAGTTTAGACCTGATTGCTGACATAGTTGTTGAGTTAATAAGACGTACAAATCTCTTTTGGCGTGCTGGCTCAACAATCATTTTCAAGTGGGTAACTTGAAAAACTGGGAGGTGATCAGATAAGTCAGTGTAAAGAATGCCACTATTCATTTCAAGTTCAAGATTGTTTGTAAATATGTTGTCAATCAGAGTTGCAGTTGAGGAAGTTATGCGAGTTGGTTTGGAGATCAGAGGAGAGAGGCTATTAGATGTCATAAGATTAATGAACTCGTTTGTGGGTTGATGAGAATGAGAGTTGAGAATGTTGATATTATAATCACCCATAATATAAGATAGCTTATTCTCAAAACTGATGGCTGACAAGATATCTTCAACAGACCTGTTAAAGTCATTAAGAGAGGCATCGGGAGGTCTATAGAGGCAGCCAACAATAATATTTTTACCATGAGGTCGCATGATTTGCACAAAGACTGATTCGTACAATGAATTGTCAGAAGATTGAAGGTAGGCTTAAAATTCATATCAGACTGAATGTAAAGACCATTTCCACGACCTAATTTATGTCCTCTTGAATTGGAGATAAAATGGTTGCCAGGAGTATTAAAGAGATCAGAATTAGACTTAATGT